ATCTATTAGAAAGAACACTGTGGTCCTAGTAGTTGTCCCTATAGTTATGTCCAATGGCATAACCCCTTTAGCTGAAATTGCCCCTCCATTGAAACTCGTAAGGACGACTTCTGTTGGGATCATATCGTTTTCTGTCTTTGCAAATTTCCTCATCATCCTAGATGGAATGGTGTTTATAGCTGCTCCATTGTCGACAAGCACTTTTACCACGGGTATGCCGTTAACTAGAGTTTTAACGTACAATGGCATCAAGTGTTTAGTTAACTTCATGGCTGGCTGCTTAAAAATAACCTTTTCGGCAGCATCTATTTCCACTTCCTGCTTGTCCTCTGTCGAGCTATCCTTTTGTGATAAGTCAACGTGCAGCATGTCGTACTGAGCTTCCGTTTTCTGCATTTTCTTTTTACTGTTTTCTAATGCTTTTTCTTCAATTACCCAACCTATGGGAGGAGGCATTATTCTTGGAGGTGATCCATACTTTTCAGAGCGAGGAACTCTCCTTTTCCTTTTGTGCGTCCCGTACAGCACATAATAATCGAAAGAACGCCCAAACGGTTTTCCCAATAAGTCCACTTCACGAACCCCCTCTCGATGTAGTTACTTCAACAGAGTGTTGTACGATACTCCTCTTTTTCTTCTTTCTACTTCCAAATCAATTTCTCATTCGATATCCGTCATACCATCATCTCCTTCATCATCGTAGGCCCCTCTAGAAGTTTGGCCTTCTTCATATTCCAGCACGCATGCTTCTTCTTCGTTATCCTCCCTCTCTTCTTCTTCTTTCTCTTTATTCTTGAACTCATTGGCTAGCAAATAGTTATTAGCCATAACATGAGGTAACTTACCAAACTGAATAGTAAGGGACTGATCTGGATCTTCTCCATCTCTTATGTCTCACTCAAACTTCGACCTTCCAGAAGAAGTCTCTGGCAATTCTTTCATCAATTCACCTGTACCAGTCTCTTCACTGTCTTTGAGAATATTTTGATTGGCCACCTCGAGTAGCTTAGGCGCCTTAGGACGTGGCATTCTCATTGTTGCCTCATCATTTGTCCATAGTTCCGTTGAAAATGCCTTTGTTGGGTTTTAGTCATCTTGTTGAAGGGTATCGCCCTTCCTGCATTATACTGGAACGAATGCCATACATTTGGTTGACGAGGCTGCGGCCTGAATGTTCTCCCATTATTCACTGGACTGAACTGCCTTTCAAAAGGCGGTCCCCTATAGAACGATATCCCTCACCCTCTACCAGACTGAGCGTTTGGAAAAAAACTAGAACGATGGTGATACTGCCATATCCCTGGTTTCTCTGTATTCCCACTCACTTCTCTTTTACATCTTGTACACAGGACATCTTCACCCTCTTTGGGCTCCTTCCCTTTGATACATTCAAAGATATTGGGATGTGCTCCAGGGTCTTCTTCTCCATCATCTATAACCAATTTGAATTTTGACAACTTATTTTTGAAACTAGTCGTCACCATGTTCACCCCAAGTGGCTGTAGAAAAGGGTTTTCATCCACTGCCATCTTCCTCTTATTCTCGAACGTAATTCGTCCGGATTCAATGACATCCTGTAACACATGGCAAAAAACCAAACAGTTATTAGTCAAATGTTACCATGCATTATGCCACTTACAATATTTTTTACCCTTAACTTGTTCAGGGCTTGGCAGTTTATGTTTATCGCTCAACTTTATCTGCTTATCCTTATATAGTTTATCAAATATAAGGTCAGTTTTGGTTACATCGAACGAGAACGTTCTAACTTTTTTGTTTTCATCTTTTATAGGCTCATCTTTGCCCGACGATCTAGGCTTAGCCATTATAGGACAAGTATACGTGTCTCCTTTGATTAATTCGGCCAAAAATATTTCGGCTTGATCGTAATACTCGTCATTAATGGTATGAACATCAAAATTTGGATCTCTATAATAAGTCCCCTTGCTAGAATTTTTCATTTGCTCTTCTTCTCTTATTAATCGTTCATACCTAATCACGTTCGCGCTCAATTGGAAAAGATCAGGAATTTTCTTGTCTTGGAACTTCTTTTTCAAATCAAAACTTAGACAACCTTGAGCGATTTTGACAAATTCCTTTTCGGACAAAGGTACAAAATATTTACTTACTGTTTTGAACCTTTGAAGGAAACCTTCTGCCCATTCGTTTGGCATTTGACGTAAATTCGCCAAATCGGCCAAAGTAACTTCGGACTCAATCTTATAAAACTGAGCGTGGAACAATTGCTCTAATTGTTGCCATGTTTGAACAAGGTTCGCTGGCAAATTGATGAACCAGGAGAAAGCTACTCCTATTAATGAATTAGGGAACAACCTCATTTTATGATAATTAGTTACGTCACCACTTTGCAGTGTGAATCGCCCTATGTGTTCTAGAGTAGACACCTCTCCTAAACCGGTAAATAGTGAGAATTTTGACACTTTATACCCTCTAGGCCATGGATATGTTTGGTCTACCCAATCAGGGTATGACTTTGTATAAGTCGGCCTAATGACAGGATACGCTCCAAAAGCCATCCGATCCTGTACTATTTCCATAATTTGATTCCTCAACATGACGTTGGGGTCATATGAAATTCCTACAGGTTGGTTAACCGATTGATTTGCTTGAGGCCTGATATTTGGTCCTTGGTTGGCAACAAAGTTGCCATGATTTGGGCCATTGTTACCATTAACCTGAATATTTACCCCATCATTAATACGTGGGGCATTATGTCCATTATTTAGGACATTGTCTCTTACGTTTAAGTTACCTCCCAAGTTAGATGTACCATTGCCACCATTCTGATTTGGCATTACACCATCCCCCTGGTTTGAAGTAGAGGGACCAAAAGGTGATTATACCCCTTGATTTGGACTTAGGACTGGGGGATTATGTCCCACAATTGTCTTAGTTTGGAAGTGATTTGCAAGAAGCACGACTGGCTGACAAATTTGGCCTACTAACTTATTCATTATTTCATTCAAAGTATTCAGTTGTTTGGCCATGTTATCATAGTGTGCATTCCCATTCTGAGTAAATCTTTCCATATTATTAATATTTCGTAGATTTACCTGTTCAACGACATCCTGTGTAAGTTCTCCAAGTAATGCACGCATAGTTCGAGGACTCAACTCTGTCATTGGTTCATAACGACTATGACTGCTCTAATTCTATCCATCTGTTCGTGGAGAGCTATGTTTTTCCTCATATCGCTCGATCACAGACTGGACTCATCCCTAACTTGCTTCCTTATCAGATTTCTGAGGCATATTGTTTCACCTTTTGTATCTCCAACACCAAACACCAAGGTGCCACTGGGCGTGCCAAATTGTTTCACGCGGGTAGTCGCTAACAATTAAAAAGGGATCAAACAATTGTGTAAATAACAAACCTCTTGAGACAAAGTCCCAAAAATGGGTGTTTTATTGGCGATGTCTTTATAATTGGAACTAAACAGAATGCTTCTAAGGGGCGCAAACACACAAGTACTGAAAAGAAATGTTTTAAGTCTAAACTAAGAAATTGAAATTATATATTCTCTATTCGAGAGTATTTGATTCGGGGTCCTTTTGCTCTATGTCTTCTCTTCCTTTTATATTCCCTTGACGATTCCTTCGTGATCAATCGCTTAGAAACTGTTTGATTGCTTTATAACTACCTACTTTCTTTATGGTAGCTAACTTGTCGTGGAATTGCCGTCTCTAACTATTGCCACTACTCTTTGTCGTTCAACCGTCTTCAACTGAACTCCTTGAATCGTGGATCGTGATAAGGTTACTCGATAACTGTTTCAATAACTGCACTTCTGGATAACCATAACATCTTATGTTTGCTAAGATTTTGGGCGATTCGAAGGTTTGGGCGAGAACAGGGTTATAGCTCTGGGCGACTGTAAGGCACTTCATTCGCTCAGATCTTGGGCGTCTTGCAAGTTTGGGCGATGATGTAATCGTGTTCGTGGGCTTCCACTGCATTCATTAGTAACCCTATTTGGACCTTTATCCTGAATTTTCCAGTTGGACTTTGTTCTTTGGGTTATTTGATTTGGGGATTCCCTAATTGGACTTCATTCCTTGGACTATTCGATTTGGGCTGCACTTTTAGTGTGTCTCAACAGTATGTTTAATAATGTGATTGGAGACTTACAAAGTTATTTTGTGACCAACCTGCTGTGCTGTTTTTTTAGCCATATTACCTTCATGAATTAATGATTTATATCATACGAAAAAAGGAAATATATGGAATTAACTTGCGTACGCTTGCCACATTTGACTTTAACGTGCTCTCAGTCTAGTTTTATAATAGCAGCGTTCAAAGGTAAAATGTTAATCCTTGGTGGGTGAGCTGATAATGGACATGGCTTTTTAAGACCAGACATATTCTGTTATGATTATGTGATCATCGGTAGACAGAAGTCCTTAGTCATTTGATCAAAGGAAAAAGTCTTTATCCTTCTCAGAACCTTCGTTCATTTGCATTGATCAACCATTAATGTGAGGGCAGATTTGGTCAGGCAGATGCAGAAATAGTACTTCAAGATCCATTACGTGATGGAGGCAGTCAGTCAATATAGATTGATCCGAAATCTGATTCAAATCCAATATGGTACCTATGCAAAAGGTTTCTTACGGCCATTTGATCATTATGCTTCGTGGATGTGCCGATACAGTCAAGGTTTGTGTGGTTATAGTCTTTGTTGGTTGAGTATGGGTAAGTTCAGGATACTCATCATAATTGTATACTAGGAACTTAATGACACATTAGCCAATATCTTCTCCAAATGTAATTGGATGGACAGTTTAGCAGAGTTGACGACTAACTTTGTCAGGAACTTTACTTGGGAATGTTGTAGTTTTGGCTTATGGGACTTTTCTGTAATTTGCATTCAGCAGTCTTGTATGCAACAATCTGTTAAATTTTCTTGGAATTGTTATTATCATAGTTTTTTTTTTTTTACGCCATTGATAACTTATTTCTATTCTATTTTTTTTCTGAAGCCATCTCTTTCCACGCCTTTTCTACCTTCACAGCCAACTCAGAGTGCTGGAGGTTTTGGCTTTGGCAACTTTGGACAGCTACAAACAGGTAGGCCAAGTCTTTGGTCTTTCTCGACCATAACTTTATTTTCTATTTTGGGAATCTTATCAATATGGTTATCATTTTAACAATCACTGTTCTTTGTTTACAGCTAGTGCCAATGTCTTTGGCGGCACATCAAGTATCTTTGGCCACGGCACGGTTGGGCAACCGTATGTTTCAAGATCTCTTCCTCTTTTTCTTTTTCTTGGACTGACTTCTTTTGCTTGTTTACTTGATGTGAATTAGAACTTTTTTATATTCACGTTATGTTGCCTTTAGCATCCTTTTGTTCTCCACATGGATATCTATTATTAGATTGTCTGGTTTAATAAACCTTATACAAAACTAGTTATCAGAATGTGAAATTTCATATATTTCAATATATTTAATTTTTCAATAGAGAAAATATGTCAACTTGTTTAATCATTTATTAAGTAAATTAGAGAAGATCGTGTAATATGCACAGAATTCACGTAAAATTGGTTACAAGATCCATCTTTTTTTTTTTTTTTTTATTAAATGATACAAATACCTGAACACAATGATTATGCATTTTATTCCAAACTCATTTTCAACTGCACATTTTCCCAATAAAATATTTTGCACGTAAATCCAAAATTTTTCCATGCTTTTTAATCACACGTTCTTCAAAAATTCACTATTACAAAACTAATTTTCAACAAAAAAAAAAAAAAAAAAATGGGGTTCAAACATTGGCTATGTATTTTTTTAATAGACAATCGATCCTTCTATTTGTGATCTTAACGATTTTCATTGATAAGGTAAATTAAGCACCCTTGTTTCTTAGTCTTTCTTTAACCTGACAGTTAACATCCTATGGGTAAGATTGGCAAGATAAAGAAAGCAATTCATTTAGCCCCCGTTTAGATTAAAATCAAATTTTAGTAAGTTATGATAAAATTTGATGAAATATGTGGTTGAAAAGTTGCGGATCCCATGAAATATGTGGTTAAAATTAATTGTTGACTTTGACTATAGATTTTACATTGATTTTAATCCAAACCAAACTGTGGTTTAATATTCTCTTTTGAAATTTTTGTTGTCTTCTAAGATTTAGCGTCTTAAAATGCATAAAATCATATAATTTGTGTACATATACTTAGTGAATATATAATGCATGACATATAATTCCGGATTGTCCCGTAGAGTGCAGCTGCTATGGACACCAGATTTAAGAACATGAAAAAATTGTATTAATGTAATGTCTTGCAAATATTTACCTAATTTTGACTTGTTAGATTCAGTAATCACTCAGATGCAGCTCACGTGCTAGTCAATTGGTGATTTTCTGCAACTATAGTTGATGTACTTGAGAGATTGTCCATAATATTTCGGAAAACATGGATGTAGATGTTGAGCTATTCCAAAATTGAGGTTTTGATATTTGCATTGTAAAGCTTGCAAATGCAAATATTCCAAATAAACTCATGGAATCACAACGTTTGATTTCTGATTAGCAGTCTACTATCATGCACTGGCTCGTTCTTGCATGCTTTCAACATGGTATAAGTTTAGCATCTGTTAAATTTTGTTGCAGGTCAGGTACTCAAAGCTCTGCGGTTGCTCAATCTGCTCTTGCTACAAATCCTTTTGGAACCCTGCCAGCGATGCCCCAGATATCAATTGGCCGCACAGACACTTCTCCTTCTATCCAGTATGGAATTTCCAGCTTGCCAGTAAGTATGCCTATCTTGATTAACTCCAAAAGAAAATTATGTAGGGTGTGTCTGATCCTTGTAATCAACTGATCTAGAACCTTCTTAAGAATTTAATCGCGTTTTCTGGTGTTACCATACCAGTGCTGAATAGAATATTAACTGCTGGCTCAGTAACTGACACTTATTTTTAAGCAGGTTGTTGACAAACCAGTGCCTATCAGAATATCGTCTTTTTTGACGTCTCGACACCTTTCTCATAGGTGTATTAGATTACCTGCAAGGAAATATCACCCTAAAAATGATGGTCCGAAGGTAAGGATTATTCTTCTAATGAAATTCCTGACCTCATTTATAGCTTACTACGAACTTGTGTTTCTCTTCCTCTATTTATTCATTATTATTTTTGCTCAGGTGCCATTTTTTAGTGATGATGAGGAGACACCCAGCACGCCAAAGGCAGATGCTCTTTATATTCCCAGGGAGAACCCAAGATCTTTAGAAATTCGTCCATTGGAACAGATATCCTCTAGAGCAAGCTCAGAGAAAAGATCCCCATCAAACCCCAAGGCTACTACTCCTGTACATGAGAATGGTAAACAGTTGTAGCATTCTATATCTAATGAGATGTGCTAGACTTTGTGCTCTTTGATACGTGGAATGATTTAGGAATATCGCTAAAATAATTACAGATGCTACCTCTAAGATTAGTCCACTTAGAAGTTGTTGGACACCTCAAGAGAGCCGAAGCGCCTCATGGTAGCTGGTTACGATTCATTTTCCCTTTTTTTATTGAGATTATAATTAGTACAAAGGCTGAATTTTTTTTTTTTTTTTTAATAATTCCCTGAGAGGATGGATTTGGCGTTGATGTGCTTTTTAAAGCTTTCCGCTTGATGCATCACTGACATTTACCTACACGAATGTCCCAATTAAATGAACATTAGACAATTGAGGCTAAGTGCTATCCTACAGAACTTGGATGTGGTACTTGCTATTCTTCTTTGGCCTTACTGGGAACAAATTCAACC